ACTGAACAGAATGGGCGGAGATAGTTCAGAGCTTCAGCGCAGGATACACGAAGTCGCTTTGTGCTTGGACTCGGGACGATATTCTGTGCAGAGAGATCGGTCACACCAACCAACGCACAACAGGGCCAATATATGCAGCTGATGACAGCAACGAGAAAGAGAAGACGAAGTGACGAAGGTGAGGATTTCAAACCCAACCTGAGGCCTTTCCGCAGACCAATTGTTCAGCTGTGCCTCGAACGTCTCAGCTTCGGGTATGGTGCTTACTTGATACTTTTCAGGCTCTCCGCGCCCCGATTCCGCCCCGCAACAGCAGTACGAGTTGAACGGGCGCCTGCACGTGCATGAGGCTGCAATGCCCTTTCGGAGTCCGTATTTCTGGTTCGAGTCTCTTGACTTGGTCGTCGAGCTTCAACCGAGCCGTCTGGGGGCCGAGAAGAGCGTCTCTAGTCAGTTCGTGGTTGGCCGTAAACAGTAACCGCCAGCCCTCCCAAGTTGTGCCGAGTGCTCTGTAGGCATTGGGGAAAATCATCGACGTCATGGCTGCTGCGGCCGTATCTTGAGGACGCGCATACGGCAAGGAAATAATGACTGTCCCGGTGATGTGGCGCTCGTGGCATCTCTTCGAGGCTTACCAAGGACAGACGCCACTATCTGGAGGAGGTGAAGGGTTTCCTACTAATACCAAACAGCCTCATCCTTTTGAGATAATCAAAGAAAGCTCTTTGCTCTTCTCTGAGTTTTTGGGAATGCGGGGTGATGGGCGACGAAGGGGTTTCTGACTTAACATACCCGCCTTTGTCATCGAGTTGGCTGCAATGACTGGCACAACTGAGATGAATAATTATAAGCGCCAGGAATTCCGTTGCTATTCACCTCGTCGGCAGTTCACATTGAAGCAGTTGATCTGAATGATCTGGAAGAGGTCGGAATAGCCATTGACGGTACAGTACAATATTTGGCGCTGGCTTAATATGGATTCCACTCGAGGACTGCATGCACTGGATGATCTGAGAAATTCTTGTGTCCAGCTGGGTATTGACAAAACTGATTCGAGTCGCTGTTTGCTTACCTGCCTTCATGCTCGTGCCATCGAGAATGAGAGGCTGCGTCCATGCTGGACTAGTGTTGAAGACGCAATCCTGGACAAGCGACAACAGCCACCACTTAACTGGTACTATCTGAAGGTGTCCCACGATGTCACTACGATTTATTCAACGCAACTATTGCTCCACAAGGAGCTCCTTCGCTCTCTTCTCATGCATATCGCTTTACGCTTGCAATTGTGCACCGAAGCCACAGGCAACCTTATCCAAAGTGCAGCTAGGCGCATGATAGCGGTGAGGTAGAGTGACCTATTGAGGTGAATAACTGCATCGTGCACCCTCTACTGTAGCGCTGCTTTGCTGTCCCTCTTGTCCTCGCTAAATGTCGGAATCGGGGTTGCTTCGTTGGTGCAGGTGCGCGTGCTTGGACAAGCCAGTCGTGGGTGGGCGCAGATTTCACATGAAAGACCTGGGGGCCAATAAAAGAGGAAGGTGAGAGTTCATTGTACAAAGAATCGCCTCGCTTTTGGCGGCCAAGACGTGGTGATCGGCAACGCCTCGCATTGATGACTCTGCATGGAACATCGGCTGTGACAGGCCTTGTGGAGGGAGGACACAGAGAGAGATGTGACCCCACGTCGAAGAAACAATCCACATTCGTCTAGCCACAGGATAGCAATATCAAAAAGGCTCGCAGTATCCGAAACCTTTGTTGACTTGGTTTGGATTTGTCAAGGAAACCACGTTATCGACCCTCCCAGCCACCTTGATAGAAGAACTATCTTATCGGATAAGAACGACGGCCCGTCTGGAAGATGGCAGGACGTCGAGCTTAAATCAGCATCAACGAGATTCGGGTCTTTAGGGGGAGTCTGATGAAGACGGGCGAAGTTCTTCATCATCAAGCCAGGTGAAGTTGCTTCTGCGATAAGGGTCGATGAGGGGCGGCGAGGGGCGGCGTGGACCGAATACCTATTTTCGCTGAAGCAGAAGGCTTAACCGTTGAACATTATGTAGAATTGGATGGTGTGTTACCTTGGATGCTAAACAATGCAGACAGCTATTGCAGAGATCGCATTATGATTTGCTTGTTGGTGAGCAATATGCCGGAAGCCAGGAGTTGCACACACCACTATTATTCCCTGCTCATTTTTCGATTGCTTGCGTCGAGCTTCCCATGAAGTGCCAAAGGTTCGTGTTTCTGTCCACCCAACCCACCATCATATGGCGCCTGCATTATGCAGGGAAAAAAAAAGCTTCGAGGTTGACACGGTCGCCAGCTGACAAGTTGTGGCCAATGTCCATGGTGCTGGCGAATTAGCTTTGGGCGGAGCCCGCCACGCAAGCCGAACACTATCAGATATTGATTGCATGAAGCAATGAATGGTGAGAAGCTGTCATCGCTTCACCGTACTCTTCAACCTCGTAAACAAGACATGATCTGCAATAGCATGGCCTTGATACATGAAGGACCCCTCAGTTTGTGAAAGGTCACCGAAAGGCGGCCGCTGCGCGTGGCCTGACTCTCATCACTGCGAACTGCGGGCATTCTCCTGGATTCGCGAGCAGTCACTTAGCCCTCAGAACTGCCCATCGGACCCGTCTTCTCTTATTTCTCCGACGGTCGGATCCCCCTATTTATTTTTTTGTCTTGCAAGTTCTGACACGGACATTTCTCACAGGATTATTCGAGTTCCGAGATTCGGGTAATGGAGACCTCCTCCAACGGAATGATGCAACAGTGGCAGGGATCTGGGGCAACCGGGGATCGAGTACGGTGGGACATGGTATTACTCCATAGGGAGGACCTCCATTCGGAATGGACCCAATAGTTGATCCGCAAAGGTTGGATTCGAGGTCGGGGGTGCGCGGATGTATCCCGATGGACACCTTAGAAAGTGTATAGCGATGTTTCGTCTGCTGGTTAGGCTGACGGGGAGGGAAGGTTTGTTGCTTAAGTGCTTGACTTTGGTGTTGGTGGTTGTGACTTTGGTTCCCCCCTCCCAATCTGCTGCCTACGAGTGGTGTCAGTTGCCGGGGGACAAGACTCGGGGACTACTCGTATAGGCAAACAGCGAGAGAATACCGAGGGGGAATAATAAAAAGGGGGATGGAGATGGAGAATCAAAGTCAAGGGACGGGAGACGAGAGGCCAAGGGGCGAGAAAAGGTAAGTAGACAAGGTGCCTAGCTACCTGCGGCCACGACTACCTGTACCTAGTGGTTAAGTACGCGGTACTTGGGACTCTGACTATGACCTAATGAGAGGACTGGTTACAATGACTGGGTGCAAGAGTTACAGCTCGGCTCGAATGGCTACTACAACGCCGCTCAGAAGAGCGGGTGAGTAGTTGTGGGAGCAGTCACAAACATATATACATGTATCTACCCAAGGCAACCATACCTGGGTCTGGTGTTGACCAATGCAGGCTCAGGCGCAGGCGCAGGCAGATGCACGGGTACAGGCACAGGTGCAGCTCCTGCGGGTGCATCCTACATACTGGCAACACTTCGAGTAGGCTTTAACTAGTCATGCAGGTCTGGAGGCGAAGGGGTCATCCATGTAGTTTGTCTTGGGGCGTTGGGGGCTTGGACTGGTACGAGTAGTACCTTAGCAGCTTAGCAACCACTGGCAACCTAGGTAGGCAAGTAGGCACTGAGGCCCAGCGGTCACTGGGCACCGACTCATGCCTAGCCCAGCTTCTCCATTCCCATCCACCATCTTCTACCACCAAAAGGTGGACCTCTAGGTAAAGCGTTGCCGAAAAGGACATCCCACGGCGTCTGCAGTGCTCATGGCCTGCAGCGGGCACAATGCACACCCGCACCATCCCCAAGCCGTAAATCTGCAAAAAAAATATCGTCCCTTGCGTGGTCCAGTGCCTGTTTTCTTTTCTTGCCTTTGCCACCTTTTTCCGAGCAATCATCTGTCTGAAGCAAACCACACCCTCAATCCCAGGGACGCTCTTCAACGCCTCGCATACATATGTCAGATCCCCCCATATCGACATCTTACTCAGGTCTCTCTGCACTGCCAGCGCCCGGAGCTCCCATTGGTCCATAAACCCCCGTCGCTCCCAACCGCATTCGCCCCCAAAGAAGCAGCCACCGCAGGACAATCCTCGAAAAAGTCATCTCAGCCTCGAGACATCTTCGAGACACTCCCGAACCTCTTAGAATCGACTCGACTTCGCCTGTCCTCGAACACCCTCAAGTGCCCATTTCCCGTCAAAATTCATTTGTGACCACTTCCGATTGATCGGTAAAAGCAACGTCGGCTCAAGTGACAGAACCTTCGTCCACAAGGTTTGCTTTCCCTCCCAGAAATCACCCCCTCAAATAATACCCCGAACTGCAGGACTGATCAGCGACTTCCTCCTCCGGTGACAGGTCTCCCACCAGCGAATCCTCCCTCCCCTGCGTCTCGTTTTCCGTTGATCGACTGCCGACCTTCAAAAGTCACCCTGTCTCGTTCCGATCCTTGTGCAACTTGCAGTGCTCTCGCCGTACCTTACATTTGCCTGTTAAAAGTGCTGTCTGCCAGTCGATCCCCTACAAGCGACCCATTGCGACAGTCGACATTCTGTCCAGCCTCCAGCGTGTATTGGACACCATTCAACTGGATTTTGATTCAGAGAAGAATATCGAACAAAGACTTCCGGCGTGTCACCAGCTGACTGCATTGAATTGCTCCCTTCAATTGGTCCAGTGACACTTGATCCCGTCGAGGTCCAGGTCAAGACCCTCGGACAACACCCTTCCCGCGGCTGGTGACGTTCTATTGAACATACCGAATATACATTGTCCAACCCTTCGCAGTTGCGCGCTTTCGCACGAGCGGATGTGTCGATCCTGTTTGTCAGGTCTGCCAGGGTCTTTGTGAGACGTTTCCAAGCTCGAACTTTCAGGTTTACCATTGCCCACCCCAAGTCGGCATCGAGGACTGGCATACATCATGACGGGGAAAATGACCCTATATAAATTGGTGGTGCTGGGAGATGGTGGTGTCGGGAAAACGGCTTTGACCATTCAGGTTTGTGTGGACCGACCTCCTTGCGTCAGCTGGATGCTAAACCTCCCTTGCAGTTGTGCCTGAACCATTTTGTTGAAACCTACGATCCTACCATTGAAGACTCTTATCGGAAACAAGTCATGATAGACCAACAGGCTTGTATGCTCGAAGTTCTCGATACTGCTGGACAGGAAGAATATACTGCTCTCCGCGACCAATGGATCCGGGACGGTGAAGGGTTTATCCTTGTCTACAGCATCACGTCGAGAAATTCTTTCAGCAGGATCCAAAAGTTCTATTCCCAGGTGCAACGAGTCAAGGAATCTGGCCATCCCAATTCGCCCACCGGGGCAAATTATCTCCAGTCTCAAATGTCCGGACAATCCACGTACAATGGCCCTCCCATCATTATGTTGGTTGGCAATAAGAGCGATCAACACCATGAACGCGAGGTTCCTTTCCAAGAAGGTCAAGCACTGGCCAAAGATTTGGGATGCGAGTTTGTTGAGGCATCGGCCAAAAATTGCATCAACGTGGAAAAGGCCTTCTACGATGTTGTGAGACAGCTGAGAAGACAGCGACAATCACCCATGAAAGCCATTGACCGGAAAGGCACAAACTATATGTCACAGCCTAGTCCACGCAACAACTTTGATTCGGATCATCAGCGGATATACCGTGATCACACCAAAAAGCGCAGCACCAAGTGTGTTATTTTATGAATGCGAGTCGGGCTTTATTAAACCCCACTACCCGGGGACTGATGCCTGATATGAAGCTATGAGCCATTCATGTCTAGAGCTGGCGACAAGTGAGGGTGTCAGGGACCTGTGGTGCAACCCCCAAATTCCCTCTGTCATCCCCCAGAATTCCACACTTGTCATGACCAAGGACGCACACAACCGCGTCTTGTACCTGTGGACGGCGAGTAATCCAGTCTTTCAGGACATGGATATCCTCGGCACTTGTTGTCCACAAGGCACCTTTTATCCGCATTTTCCCTCGATCCCACTACGCCCAACAACAGCTCCTGTCTCCCTTGCCTTGGGTTGAGAAGAGTCGTCGACACGGAGAAAGCTTAGAACAGCGACGGGACCTGTTACAGTTGGAGAATTACCATATAAGCTACAGTACAGCAGCACGATTTATCAAACTCCAGTGTACAATATATTCACGTCTAAGATACTAGAAAGGGACATGTCACGGAATGTCTGAAGTTTTGCACAGGCTGGTTAGGTCTGAGGGAAGCTACATGTCTTGCGACCAATTTTTTTCTCGTCGTGGAGTAAAGACGGACCAAAATCTTTGATGGGTACGGAAAGATGATGGTGGCATTTCTCCCCAGAGTCCAAGGAGGACATCGGAATCACAGCCCCATCTGGCATGGTTTACAGGAACCGGTGTCGGGACGACAACCAATGTGGCGCGGGCCTTTTCCAGTTCCAACCTGAGAAGCCGATGTCGTATTCAGACGGACCTTGTACATATTGGGCATGAGGTTTGATGGGGATGGAGATTAAGAAGGAGGGCCTTTGATATCTACCTACATGAAGGAGGGGGGCCAGCTGTCAACCTGACCTTGGACTCGTATGGCTGGAGCCTGGGGAATGGCGTATGGCGTATGGCGAATGGTGAATGCACCAGACCAAAAAGGAGGCATGGAGAAAGCAATCAAATTAACACGAGTATTTTTACGTTTTGCAGGACTAGAAGAGAAATCCAGCGAACCAGGCAGGTTAGCAGTGGCAGTGGCAGTGACAGGGAACGTTAAAAGTTTGTACCTCGTACCTATGCGAGGACTACCTGGACCACCTGGACTACCTGGACCCCCTACAGGACCTAAGTACCGAGTACCGAGTAGATAACCGTCTCAGTTCTCGCGTGCTTCGTGCTTCGCGTGGTGAACGCTGGGCGCTGGACGCTGGACACTTCGACGGGGAAAGTCTAAGGCAGACTGAGTTGTGCCCGAGTACTCGGTACTGTGCAAGCAGAACAAGGTAGTAGTAGACAGTAGTAGACAGCAGTGCATAGTTTGTACCGTTGCATCTCTGGTTCCTACCTATTGCCAATTACTACTGTGCACAAGGGTATGCGGTACCTAGGTACATACCTTCTTGGTGCTCCGTCCTCATGTGCCGACCGACTCCCAAATACCCTCTCACTCTCTTGTCCAGTCCAGCACATCTCCCCCACGTTTGGTCAAGCGTCCTCTTGCCAGAGACTCGAGTACCTCATCTCATCTCTCACCTCGTATTGAAGCAAGGTGTGAAACAGCCGAGAGCAAGTCCAACACTACATCCCTCGGCTTGCTGGCTTGCTGGCTTGCAATACCTCGTATACATGTTCCAATAGTTCCTCCATCCAAACCGATATAGACAACGGGCGCTGCTTGGGGAAGAGTTTATTTCCCTACGGCACCTCAAGAGCCCAGAAACCCGAGACCACAAGCGCCGCCACATGTTTCTCAATGCGAGACAAGGTTATATCGGCCCTCTTCATCTACTCCTCTCCCGCGTCGTTGGCTTGCATGTGCACCTCCGTCACAACACAACGGACGCAACGGTCTGGAGACATTTTCCGTCGGCCCCACTAAAGCACCACTGTTTTTCATCCTCGTGTTTTTGTTCTTGTCGATGGCTTTGGCAAACAAATCCCTTTCCCCTTCTTGGACGGCCTGGGCGGATCCATCTATCGTCGTGGTTGGCCTTCACACATGCGACAGAACGGGATAAGATTCACCTCATGATGGTGTGTGAACCATGTGCCACACATGCAGATCCATGTGGCCGTTGCGGACCTGCATACGGGGTTTGTCCGCTGGGTCGGCATTTGGCAAATGGGCAAATAGCCAAATGGGCAATCATGCCTAGGAAAGTTCCGCCATACCTAGTTCGCGGTCGCGTGCCTGGGTCCTGGGTCCTGGCGCCTGGGGCCTAGGAAGTTCCCACAGGGACCAGTCACCTTGCTCGTTCAGGGGTCAGGTAATAATTCGTGTGTTCAACGCTCAAGATGATGTTGTACTCGTTTCTAGAGCTGGCAAGGCTGCGCAAAATGATGAGATGGCCCGGCCTCGGGCTTGGGGGGAAATACTTCCTGACCGGCTGTTGAGGCGACATGTTCAGCATATCCTTTCTTAGATGGTCGAGCCAGACGCAATATATGGGAAGGGAGAACGGGATTCCACCAATACCTGTCACCCTGGCCGCAATGGCCGTTGATGGTGCTTCAGGAATTTACCGTCAGACATTGTCGCCCAGCCGAAAGTCGAGCCCCAGCGGGTCCTCGCTACCTCCCATGCTGGATTGTAAGGCTGCAGTCGTTGAAAATGTGAGTCGGTGGTACAAAGTCTGGTGTCACACTTTCCCACAACAGACCAAAGCGGGAATTTTGAAGACCGAGTTCAGAGTATCTCGTACTCCTGTGTGCTTAACTTAGGCCCGTGGTGGTTGAATAGGAACCAGTAATGAAAAAGTAACCCAGGCCGAAAGAGACATTTATCCAAGTTCAATCAAGGCAGAGATGCCATTGTGTCCCCCCTAACATTGGGCTTCAACGCTTTATGCAGCGGGAAGATACCACTTCCAACTCCGGAATGACAGTCCTCAGGAGTTCTTCGGGGGACCGTCATCGCTTGGATGCATTTTCGACCTAAGCGATTCGGCCGCATCTACGATTCCAACTGCCGTGCCGTGTCGCATGGTAGACAAATCAGGGCTTCTGCAAGTGGCCGAGAAGATTATTGAGCTCGTCCAAAAGTTCCACATTGCCATGTCTCGTCGAAGGCCTCGAAGAAATGGTAGCATATGAGCTCCGGCCACGTCAGAAATTGGATCGAATGCAAAGACAAAGGGACATAGCGCCATTCAGCTTGTACCGTACGATGCGTTGTTGGAAGCTCATTGCTCCTAGGCAGCTCTAATTCATTGCGACGAAATAAAAGAGTAAGCCGTGTGCATTAGCTGTGTCGAATTTGGGGTCGGCAAAAAAGTGAGTCCAGAACTTCATTCACTTGCTTGTGCTGGCGGAAGGTCTGTGTTCCATGTCCTCCGAGTGCGTCAATCATTTTACCCTGACCTGGTTTGCAGATCGGGAGCGAGCGTACCCAGCAACATCCCAGTGTCCATGTCTGGCTCTCATCACTCTACTCAGATCGCAGATGAGTGCAGCGAGTAATGGGTAGCTGTTTGCAGAGGGCGTGGACGTCCCCCC